ATATATATATACATATATATATATATATATATGTATATATATATATATATATATATATATATATATATATATATATGCCCTAAGAGATAATAAAGATTGAACCAATGAGAGATAGTTGTCTAAGGTATTTCGGCTACTTCACTGGTCAACTCTATGTTCAAATTAGTATGACTCAGATTGGCTGATTTCCAATTTGTTCATGTTTGTCGGCGGTGTGCTATGATTTCATGGCTTGTCTTTTTTTTATATTATATATATATATATATAATATAATTTTGCCCCAAAATAATAATAAAGATTGGACCAGTGAGAAAGAGGCGTCATGGTCTTCGGGATCAATTCACTCGTCAATGGCACAATGAGATTGATGCATTAACGTCATGGTCTTCGGGACTAAATGTGCTTTATCATAATCATTCACAAGGATACAGATCCTAACCTCAAATATGCAAATATGTAAGCACCGTTTATTATATATATATATGTACAATTTTGCTGAGAAACTAGTCAAGGTTGGAGAGAAATGTGAGCTTCTTCGTGGTCACTTCGTTGGTCAACGGCACCGTTGCTGAGAAACGAGTAAAGGTCATGAATATTACTATAATATATATACACATATGGTGGCACCGGAAGCCGCCGCCACCAATCAGCGTTGCTTCTGATCCTTCAACTTTAGCAGGATGAAGCTTTCATCTGTCTTCTCTTCATCCCTCCTCCTCCATGATCTCATCCTCCTGCTGTGCGTCGTCTCGGTACCGCTTCCATCGATGGCAGACGGTACCGTCGACAGACTCGCACTCGAGTCCTTCAAGTCCATGGTCTCCGACCCCCTGGGAGCCTTGGCCTCATGGAACCGGACCAACCATGTCTGCCGGTGGCAAGGCGTCCGATGCGGCCGGCGGCACCCCGACAGGGTGACTGCCCTGCGCTTACTCTCGTCGGGGCTCGTCGGCCGCATCCCGCCTCACGTCGCCAACCTAACTTTTCTCCAAGTGCTCCGCCTCCGTGACAACAACTTCCACGGACTGATCCCACCCGAGCTCGGACGCTTGTCCCGGCTGCAGGCCCTCGACCTCAGCCTGAACTATCTCGAAGGCCCCATCCCTGCCACTTTGATTCGTTGCTCCAATCTTCGACAAGTCTCTGTGAGGAGCAACCTGCTGACGGGAGAGATTCCCAGGGATGTCGGACTGCTGTCGAAGATGTCGGTGTTTAATCTGGCGCAGAACAATCTCACCGGAAGCATACCGCCTTCCTTGGGAAACATGACATCTCTCTTCGCTCTTTTCCTCCAATCCAATACTTTAGAAGGAAGCATTCCCGAGAGCATCGGTAATCTCAAAAGCTTACAGCTGCTTCAGATAGCCTATAACAGGCTCTCAGGTGCGATTCCTTCCTCTGTTTACAATCTATCCTCCATGAGTATTTTCTCCGTCGGGAACAATCGTCTGGAGGGAACCCTACCTGCGACCATGTTCGACACCCTTCCGAGCCTCGAAATGCTTCTAATGAACAACAACCATTTCCATGGGCACATTCCAGCTTCACTTTCCAATGCGTCCTATATGGGAGACATGGAACTGAGTGTCAATTACTTCACTGGAACAGTGCCCTCCCACCTGGAGAATCTACGACAGATCTACTTCATAAACCTTTCCGACAACCAGCTCGAAGCTACTGATTCCAGTGACTGGGAGTTCCTTGCATCTTTGACGAATTGCAGTCTCTTGCATGTATTAGTTTTAGATACCAACAACTTCGGCGGCATATTGCCAACTTCTTTAGCCAATTTCTCCTCCAGTTTGAACACCATAACTCTCGATTCGAACCATATTTCTGGCACCATACCCACAGGAATAGGAAATCTTTTCAACCTCACGACACTGTCATTGAGCGATAACCATCTGACCGGTCTGATTCCTCCCACAATTGGAGGGCTCCGAAACCTGCACAGATTGGACTTATCAGGAAACAGATTAACAGGACAAATACCTGACTCCATCGGGAACCTCACTGAACTGAATCTTATCTACTTGCAAGATAATGATCTCGGTGGAAGAATACCTGAAAGCATAGGGAGCTGCGGGAGAGTGGAAGAGATGGACCTTTCTCACAATAAGCTCAGTGGTCAGATTCCCATGCAGCTTTACAGCATTTCTTCGTCGTCGACATACCTAAATCTATCAAATAACCTGCTGAACGGAACACTGCCGCTCCAAGTGGGTAACCTGAGAAATCTTGGTGCGCTTGTTCTTGCACACAACAAGCTCTCCGGTGACATCCCTACAACCCTTGGCCAGTGTCAGAGCTTAGAGTACCTTTATTTGCATGACAACTCTTTTCAAGGATCTATCCCTCAATCCTTGAGCAACTTAAGAGGTCTGAGCGAGCTAGATCTTTCAAGCAACAACATATCTGGCAACATCCCAGAATTTCTAGCAGACCTACATGCTCTGCAGCACCTGAACCTCTCGTACAATGATCTTGAAGGCAACGTGCCAAATGATGGTGTTTTCAGGAACATCACTGCATTCTCGGTTATAGGAAACGATAAGCTTTGTGGGGGTAATCAAGGACTGCACCTGCCCCCGTGCCATATCCAATCTGGTAGGAAGCATAAATCTCTCGCGCTCGAGGTTGTCATCCCAGTCATCTCTGTCGGTCTGTGTGCGGTAATCCTACTTATCGCCCTTGCTGTTCTGCACAGAACGAAGAACCTGAAAAAGAAAAATTCATTTACAAATTCTATCGAGGAGCAATTCAAAAGAATCTCTTACAATGAGCTGCTAAGGGCAACTGATGAATTCTCAGCTTCTAATCTGATTGGTATGGGAAGTTTTGGTTCTGTTTACAAAGGAGTTATGGACGCTGATGGAACTACTGTTGCAGTTAAGGTGCTAAATCTGGAAAGGCATGGAGCATCACAGAGCTTCATCTCTGAATGTGAAGCCTTGAGAAGCATCCGGCATCGCAATCTTGTCAAGATTCTAACTATATGCTTAAGTGTAGATAATAGAGGAAATGATTTTAAGGCTTTGGTGCTCAACTACATGTCAAATGGGAGTCTCGAGAACTGGCTACATCCCAAAGAATCTGAGGCATCGACAAGGAGGAAATTGACCCTTCCTCAGAGGTTGAGCATAGCAATAGATGTCTCTTCTGCGTTAGATTACCTTCACCATCACGGACCTATGCCAATTGTTCATTGTGATTTAAAGCCTAGCAATGTTCTTCTGGACCAAGAAATGTGTGCACATGTGGGCGACTTCGGATTAGCAAGGTTTTTACAAGGAACAATGCCAGACACAGACCAAAACCGTACAACATCCACAGGAATAAAAGGAACCATTGGATATGTTGCTCCAGGTATAAATTTAAAATTTTGCTCTATTTCTTGTTTGAATATGCAAATATGATTTATATGATATCATTTCTATTTCCATTTCTGGTTTTACGTTTATGGAACATAGTTTGAAGTATGATTTATTATTTTTTAGGGGATATTTTGCCCAAAAAAATAAAATGTAAATGTTTATGCCATCCATGTTAATGTTTGAACAATTCCTTGGTATGTTTCTGCTTTTAATTGTCTCAGTAAGGTTGCTTTCATGATCAAACTGATGGCACTACTCTAATACCTAGCAGAAACTGGTGGTTTACTAGAAGAGAACAGAATTCACAATGGCAAAATATCTTAACATTGATCACCAGAAGATAAACTAATGTTCTGAAGTATTAGCTTGTCTAAAATTTTACTTTTTCAAGTTTTGAGTTCCATCTCCATAAATATAAGCATGGATAGAAAGTGTATTCATAGGAATAATAGCTTTAGCCATTCTTGATTTGTTTACCTGTAACCAATTTACCATGTGGATCCTAATCAAGTTAGATAAATTTTAGGGTAACTCCCTATACCATAATGACCAAAGCATGCTTCATTGCTTGCATGAGAAAGCATAACAAATGAATAAAATTAAATATAAAAGCAACAAGTAATTACTAAAAGATAAAAATTAACATCTAGCTTTTGTAAAACAACATGAGACACTTTTTGTTGTTTGAACAGGTAAAACCTAAAAAATTAGTGTGTTACAGAACTACATAGAATCCACTGGGGATATATGTGCTTGATGATAGAGAGAATGAGGAGGAAAAAAAAGCTAGCTAACACCCAAATGTCCATAATTTGAGATAACTAGATAACAAAAAATAAGAGTGAAACTTCAAATTTGAGGAGAATTGTCTTCCACCCCTCTTGAACATATGATTTTTGTCTCAGGATTTTAAGTGCTTGAATACTTTGCAAATGTCACTATTTTACATTGTCAGTGAATCTATGATCTAGGATTGTTGAACATTAGAGATATTTGTTGTGTTTCATAAGCTATAACTATTATTCAAATGCACTTAAAAAAGATCCCAGAATAGATAGGATAATGGCAATATAATGGTTTGATAACAAAGTGAACCGAAGTGGTAGTAGGACATTGGAAAAACACTGCCTTTTTCTTCTAGCTAATGTATATAAGTAATAGTTGATGCAGTTCACCTTTTGTGAGACATGATTTTTCATTCTTTTAATTTTGGGCATCAGGAGGGTTCCTTCATAGTTTTTGAAAGTATAAGAGATTTTTAGCATGAACCAAATTTTTATAAAAAAAAAAAGATTTAAGTTCTCTACAGTTTCCAAGAAGAAATAGATAGGCCTCTCCATTGGCTACAAAATCTCCAGATATTTTCATCAAATGCTAGCTTGATACCTCTCTTTCATTTGTAAATGAATTGCAGAATATGCCATGGGAGGCAAAGTCTCTACTAATGGAGATATATACAGCTATGGGATTCTTTTGCTAGAGATGCTGACAGGGAAGAGGCCTACTGAGGACATGTTCAAGGATGGCCTTAGCCTTCATAAATATGTGGAGATGACCCCTATCGAAGATCTACTCATGGTTTTAGATCCTGGTCTTCTTCTGGTGGAGAATGGCCAACAAGGTGAGCAAAATGTTGTGTACATTGACGTGGACAAGTTAGAAGTGCAGAAATGCTTTGTTTCAGCTGTCAATGTTGGCCTTGCTTGTTCAAAGGAAAATCCAAGAGAGCGAATGCAGATGGGAGATGTCATCAAGGAACTAAGTGAAACTAGAGATAAGCTTCTCAATGTCCACAGAAATATAACTGGAGTACATGGATGAGGAAAATGATCTCTCTCTCTCTCTCTCTCTCTCTCTCTGGAACATCTTGTTCACAACCCACAAATAATAGTAAACTGTCTGCGGATGTGAAATTTCACAGCTCTTATGGTGTAACAGAGGAAATCAAGCATGTAATGTAGAATATCTGCTCCGTAGAATTTATTTGAACTGTAAATTGGTGAATGGATTCTTTCATCAGCCCATTATCGTAGAACTACGGGAAGACAATTGGCGTAAGTTTTGGTTTGTGCACATTTTCTTTTTGTTTGATCTCAAAACAGGCATTAATCATGCATGTATTCCCATCAAACGTCACTAGCTTCTAGTTATCAAGCTTATGCACTCACCTGCCAACTCCTTCGGTAATCAGGCTCCTTTGTGATCCTGACGTACATGCCGACCACCTGCTCGACAAAACGTCGCTCTCGGAGGCCCTTGCAGCGGGAAGACGAAAACAGTGAATAGAACATCCAAGAGAGAACTGCTTGTAGTGAACGATTGGCATTAACAGAATAAAGAGCACTCGCCTTTGCCCCCTTTTAAATGTGCCTCGAAGGGGATGTTTTCTTGGATATATACATATGTATATACGTATATACATACGTATATACGTATATATCTATATATATATGTGTGTGTATATATATATACGTCGAGCACGACATTCTAGTTCTGATCACCGCCATCGCTACCCAGCGGCGACGATCTGCGTGCGAATTGGTTCAGGTTCTTCTTCCTGTGTCTCCTTATCTCGTTCCTAAAGATGCCCTACGAAATGAAACCTGGTTGGCTTGTAATCTCCCTTCGCCTCCTCGTTGGAAACCTACATGATTTGATTTTGTGAAGCCTTTGTATGAATTGGTTCCCCCCTTTCTTCCCATCGGATATGGTAACTTCTTTCTTTTCACCTCGTGATGTAGAAATCTCTCTTCTGGGGCTCCTTTTCGAGGTTTTCTTCATAAGACAGCCCAAAGAGAATTCGATTTTTGGGTTTTCATGATCGATTGGGGTTTTCGTGATCTCATCCATTGCACAAGAAACCTCGTTCCTTAGGGTTTTCTTGCTCATCAGCACAAAAGACTGAATCGAACCATCATTTTATCCAAACCTGCTCTGGTTTCTGAATGGCTTTGATCAAGATCGGATGAAACATGGTTTATTGAGGCCGATTCATCTTAGGATTTCATTCTCACACGTTGTCAATTCGTTTCTCTGGAAATTGAACGGATGTGTGCAGGCCATGGGCCTTGAGATGATGGATTTTTCCGGGGGGTTGCAAACCGCTTTCTACGAAATTTCGTGAAAGTCTTTGCGTTGACTTTATCAGAGGGCGCAACTTCGGCGAACTTGCGGGTTGATTGCCTTCATATATGTCCTCTCATTCATCCTGCTCCATCTACTCTCCTGTGTTTCAGGACGATGGATATGCCTGTATCGGCAAAGACGTCTGGATGCAAGCCCGGAATTCAACCAGCGTCACCCCCGCAACAAGCTGAGAGCAGCGGCCCCAGCAGCCAAACCAGGGTCTTCAATTGGCTTCCCACCATTGCTTTCCTCTTCCTCACCTATAACTCCGCAGAGTCAGCCTACCGATCTCGGCATGACATCCCGACGCTGGCCTTCATAGTATTCGCCTATGTCGACTTGGTGATGCTCCTCTTTTGCCTCAAGCAGTTCGAGAAACTGAGCCCCGAGAGCACGCCGGCGAAGAGGGAGCAGCTCAAGGCCGCGGTTTGGGTCCTCACGACGGCTCTCAACCTCGCATTTGCCTGGCGTGTGGCGGAGATAATGCCGTGGCTACTAAGTGTCTTGGTCTGGCTGATGTCAGTGTCGGTAGCTATTGGGGGGTTTTATGGGCTCTTCATCCACCAGGGTGCGAAAGATAGTGTTGCTGATGGCCACGGCTATTCGCTTGTCAAAAATGCGGAACTTGCTCCCGGAGAAAAGGTCTAAGTCTGCATGCTCTTGCACTGTATTTGTGTAGTGCAGTGTGAGGTGTGTTGTGCTCAGTCATCTATGTGTGTGTTATGCGGTATGGATTGCAGTTGACGTCTGGTTGTAGCGTGGACTATGTAATAAACAGGTATTTGACATGAAATAAGTCCAGTGGCATTCTGTGGCCATCATCTAATAACTATGATCGAATTTGTAATAATGTGGATTGTACCCCAAAATATGAGGTGGATTATAACTCACTGCATGAAATTTGATTGCTGGTTCAACTGTTTTCTCCTGCCTGCAATTATTATGTGAACCACATTCCATGAGGAAGTACTCGAGAGTTTATTGGGGAAGAGTTCAAAGAAGGAACTCAGCTTCGGCATCTTTAGTAGCTTCATGGGTGACAAGATCCTTCTCTACCGGCAGCATGATTCTTTCATCTTGCAGTAATCGAGTGGTGGGCTCTGGAAATGATTGTGGAAAGAAGATGAGAAAGATTTCATCTTTGCTTGTTCAAATCATTCAAGAAGCCGAAGGTATCATTGAATCGACATAGCTGTGCTTGCAATTGACATAGCTGCGCTTGCGATCACACCGTTTCCCACTATTAGACAGATGTGGGCCTTGATATGCAGTACAAGAGTGTTTCTATAGATCAATGGATAAGCATATCGTCTTTTAAGGTTTCCCTTCCCTTGTGGGTGGATTAGGAAGTGCAGTCTCCCTTTGTGTTAGGGTGCGGAAGGGAGCAATCAAAGGTGGGTTTGTCTTCTTTTTTTTTTTTATGTAAAAACTGCACCTTTTTGCTTCTTTATCTTGTTCTTGTTTTGTGAATTTTATCTTTATACAATGTCTTGAGATTATATTCATAAAAAAGTTCAGATATATGTAGGGAACTGCATGGTGACTAATGTTGTTTTGACCCATGGGATGTAGGCCAGTATCACAGTTACAGTGGTGAAATCTGGAGAAAGAAGCTTGCTAAATCAGCCAGGGGACTAATAGGTATGCAATTTTTAGGTTTGCAAGTTTTAGACTCGAAGAAAATAGTTCTTTTAAAAGTCCTGAATTGTTTCCACTGCAAGTTTTAATTTTTAATTAGGGTCCGTGCCTTACATATATATTAGTCTTGTGGTTATTTGATAATTATGATTCTTTAGCCATCTAGGCTGCTATCGTGCTTCACTGTTGTGGAGTGGGATGGTGCTAATTTTTCTCGGTGATGTGTCTAGAATCTTGCTTCTATGTATACACACATATATGTATAAACCAAGAGGTGACTTCTATCTGGTTGCATAAGGAACACAAGGGAAGAGAAAGGTTTCATACAATGTCATGATCCTTGTGTTTGGGGAAAATAGAAGTTTCATGCAAATTATTGATGCACCTTTGATATCACTCAATTTCATTTCTGTCGCTGCCTTATTAGCAATCTTATTGCCTTGCATACACTCTTCATTTTGAAAACCACCACATGTATGCTTTCTTTCAAGTGAGACTTTGTCACTGTTTCTATCGAGAAGCAGCCGTTTTATCCTATAAGACAGCATGGTTCTTCTCATTGTTGAACATGTAAACAGCGGTTTGTTTTGGTGAAAGTCAGAATTTATTATCTAGTTCAACGACATGTATCTTTTGAGTAGGATGTTGGAATCCCTATGTCATTGATTGAACTTAAAAGTGGGAAAAGGTGACTGTATTGGATTTCCATCTTTCATATGGTTAATGGCTGTTACCGGTACGTATCTGTAAGCAGTTTGATAACTTGCTATTCTTGCATGTGCGGCCTTTAGAATCAAATTATAGAAAGGAAGGTACATCCATATCAATGATAAATTTGATTATTCTAAATGACATTTGAGCAGTAAGAGGTTCCAATGTTCACCAGATAAGGAGTCAAATTTATGTCCACATGGAGCATAAATGATCATCATTTCCTTTTTTTTCATGTACGACAGGCCATATCTATTTGCATATTTGTCTACTAATTCAGCTCCCTCCTTATCTGGACACTAAAGAATCACTAAGCTTTCTCCTTAGCCATCAGTAGAATAGGTCCATGACTCACTGACATTTGAATCACTTATCTGTTCCTGTTATGGACAACAGAAACAAACCAAAATTACTAGCATTCTAGATGAAACAATGTAACTGCAACTCCCTAAAACCTTCTGTCCATGTCAAAACTCACATCACTAACCTGATGGATGAGCGACATTGCTCCCTTAGATATACTGTCAAATGTTTTGGGTGCAGCACCAAGATGTCTGCTGTTGTTGCTGCGAGATGCTTTGTATTCTTGACCGATGCTTCTCAGTCGGCTGAGCTCTGGTAACACAACCTTCCCTAAATCAGGTCGGTCCTTTCTCCTCAGCTCAGCACACTTCAAAGCGAGCTTAGCAAATGCAAGAGTCTCTTCCACTGGCCAGTCCTCAATAGCTGGGTCCAGCATGTCTGCAAAATTTCCTTTTTCGATGGACCTCTCTACATGATGCGTGAGGCTCATTGGAGGTTTTGCTGTAATAATTTGGAGCAGCATTATTCCTAGGGAGTATATATCAGATTTTACACCAAGCATACCCGTCTGTTGGTATTCAGGGTCAATATAACATAGCGTTCCAGCAGTTGATGTTATCCTGTACTGTGTGACACTGTCGGCTACTGATGCTGGCACCAGTCTTGCTAGGCCAACATCGCTGATCTTGCTTACATAATTGTGGTCCAGGAGGATGTTGGCTGGCTTAAGATCTCGGTGAACCAATGGTTCTGGCTTAGTCTGATGAAGGAAGAGTAATGCTGTAGCTATCTCGGCAGCAATTTTGAATCGTGTAGCCCATGGTATTGGGGGAGTATTTCCTCGTCTGAGGAGCCTGTCCTCCAAGCTTCCGTAGTCCATGTACTCATATACCAAGCAGCCATACTCTGGGCAGGCACCAAGAAGCAATACCATGTTGGGATGCCTGATGCAGCTCAGAATCTCGACCTAAACAAATTCCAGTAGACCAAATGGTTCAAAGGTTAGAATAAGCAGCTTGATAGAAATTTTCAACTTAGATTTAGCAATGGCTGAAGCTTAACGAAGTTCATAACATTATAATAAATTTTAATCGGTTGGCATAGTGTCATGTCGTTGAACATCTAGGATTAAGGTAATTTAACTAGAAATTAAGGCACAATGTATAGAATTCGGTGTGTTAGAAGCTTCAAGAGAGAATAACAGAGAGATGTCTACTACAATATGCTTCTTATGCAGATATTTGTTTCTGCAAAAGGTCCAAAATGTCTACCACACTGTAATGGAAAGAAATGTTATCCTTAATCCTGCACAATTTCTCATGATATATGTAGATGAATTCTTGGTCTTATTCTAATGAGTCAAGATGATCATAGATAGCACTAAATAGCTCAATGCTAAATATTTTTTATATGAATTAGACCAGAAGATCCAGATCTAGAAAAGCATGGAAGAACTTTAAGAAGATTGTAAATACCAGGAAAAAGTTACTGGAGAAAGATGGAGCATGCTGAATCAGTAAGTTGTTTGTTCTTTTATATAAATGCATTAGTTAAATTCTTCTTTTATTCTATAAAATTCTGGTTATTATTATTTCTGAAGAAATGTTCGAACTGGTCAATTTTTTGGTTAATTCATAGTTCTATTTCTATCCTTAACCAGTGTGTTGGACATGATCATTGTACCTCTTGCTGGAATTGCTTTCTCCCTTGTGATGCATCTGGTCGTAAAACTTTAATGGCAACTTGTGTGTGATCCAGTGTAGCTCGAAAGACAGGCCCATATCCACCTTCCCCAACCTTCAGTGCCGATGAGAAGAAGTTTGTAGCGACTTCTATCTCATCAATGCTGTACTTCCTGTAATGAATTTCAGAACGTAACACAGATTCCGTTGCTTTCTTCCTCTCCTTTGCCTCTCGTCTGGCTTTCAACTCTGCATTGTATCTTCTCCTGGCCTCGAGTTCTGCAATTTTTTGTGCTGCTTCAGCAGCTTCCATTGCAGCCTTGCACTTTGCCTTTTCTAATTCGACGAGCACAAGGGCTGCCTCTTCAGATTGTCTTAATTCCTCAATTCTCCGGGCTTCTTCGATCTTCAACTTTTGCAACTCTCTAGCCTGATCAGTTCCAACCAATCAACACCTGATCAACTTCTAGTGCTCCAAAAAAAAATTTATTAATGTTTGAAACTTCAAAGTAAGCAAGCACAAATACAGCAATTAAATAAACTTGCGTGTGTGTGGGATGGGGAATAATAAATCAGATATAAAAAATACCAAGAAAATGTCCACAAACATCCTCCATAAGTTTTCTTGTGAGCATGGCACTAAAAATTAAGCACGGATCTACCATAGGACTATTAATGGAAGGGATGATGATAAGCAAGAATAAAAGCAGCATTCCAGCTCACCTTCTCTTTGGCCATAATTGCTTCCTTGCAAGCTGCATTGTACATTTCTGCTGTCTGCTTTAGCTCGAGTCTTAGCCTTCTCATTTCAGCCTCGGCCTCTCTCATTGACTAATTGGGAAAAATGAAGTACCATTAACAGCAAATGAAAACAGGCTGCCCATTTGATAGGGTAGCTTGTAGTCTATTTTTTTCCTGAATTGTATTAGAAACTAATTTACGTACGCTAATTGCTGGAGGCAGGAAACCTCGAGGGCTTTCTGTATATCCCAACTCAAATGCATCACTGAGGTCAGATCGGAAGCTCGTGCTTGCTGGGAAATCAATATTACCCGTGTATGAGTCATGATAGTTGGTCCTTGATGATCTGACAGAGGAGTCAAGGATGTCAATATATGCATCATTTGATGTCATCCTAGGTGTGGGGAGGGGCTTATTACCCCGCATGTAATCAGGAGGCCTTTCAGAGTTCCTGTGATATAAATAGACTGGATTTAGATCTTTTTAAGTAACTCCTAGCTACTTGGTTACTGTTTGATCAACCAAGACAGCAAACATATATCGAGCCATAACATGGTTCCTGAACAAAACATGCATGTAGTAGATATAATTATTTAAGATGTAGCTTCAGAAAAAATCTTTTCTAATTAAGTTTCGTAGTTCTGTCAACCAGATTGTGGAAATAAGGGATACTGATATCCTTATTACCATCATCATGGTGATTGTTTAGGTGAAGACTTTCAGCCAATTGCCACTAGCTCTTTGTGATGAGCCATAAAGAGCTACAACAGCTCTAGTTAAACCTAATTCCTGGTCCTTGTTGTTAGGTCCTTTGCATAGAAAGTATTAACTTCTAGTCCCTAGATTGTTTACAACTGCATGCATGAACAAAATTATATCAGGGACTAAAAATCTTTAGTCAAGCTGTCATCTTAAAATTTAGAACTGTTTGTTTTCTTGTTATATAGACAATATTTGTCTGATCCATAGCAACTGCTGTTGTTAATGCAAGTTCCTTTTTGAGTCGACCTCCTCTTTTTTTTTTCTAATTATACACATTATATTTTTATTTATTATAACAAAACACCTTTTGACTTTCTTTCTTCTAGTATTTCATCAATGCAGTAGTCATAACACTGAGGTAAGCAATACCTGTATTTAGTGATTACTGCATTTTCTGTGGCTGACCTAATGGAATGATCAAAGTGTTCAGCTTGTCGATATGGACTATCCAGAGCCATTTGTTGCTTTGGAGGAAAAGTATTAACAGGAGCAGGTACTTTTGCTGTCCGGATCGTCAATGGCTTCCCCTTGTATATGACATACACTCCACAAAACTCTGGCGCACCTTTTGTCAAGCATGTTGGGACATCAGGATTCATGAATTTCCTGCAAGGAGGTATGAGCAACTGCTGTTCTTAAGGATTTCAGAACCAAAAAGGAAATACTGCAGTTTGTGGATAGACGGGGAGACCTGAGTGCATTCCTGCTTGAAGCACCAACTACGACATTCTGGATGTTGTTTGAGGTGATGTAGTCGATGATGGCTTTCGAGACATCAAAATCTTCCAAAATCACCTCCGTCAGCTGCAACTGTTTGTTTCCGGAAGAAGTTCAACAAAAAGTTCTGTTATTAATGGTCGAGTAATTCAATCATCTTGGACTATCAACCTGATCAGTACTCTGGTATGTATGAACATCTTCATTTTCCAAATTCACAGTTCCACACATCTTTCAGTCATCATCATGCAACTATAATCCTGTCATTACACTCATGTAGAACTAGATCCTTACATCAAAATAAAAAGCCCATAGATGAATAATGCTTCCTTTCGATGTTATAGAGACTCTACAATGTCAATGTAGCACATTAGCTCTGTTTTCTGCAACAACTACTTGTTCCTCGTGATCAAAATACAGATCTCTAAAATGAAATTGACAAACTCTTTTGAACTTAAGATGAGCAAGTAAACTTTTACATGAACAGTTGACAAGGACACCACATGAGGAAGTCATCTGTGGCTGCCATGAAATTTTACTCGCTCTAGGCTCATCGTACCGCTGAAGACTACAGCGCAAGTAAAGGAAGCAGCAGCTGACCTTGTTTCATATAAAATTTAATATTCCTGATGTTATCAGATTCTAATTTGCTTTACTCTGCCTCAGACATTTATGCTTTTTGAACTTTGTATATGAAAGTTAGTATCATGGCATCATGAGATTCTAACATGCTTTATTCTGCCTCAGCCACTTTTTATCTGTTTGATGTTAAGTGATATCATTGTATTCTAATTCACATAAGGAGCAAGAGCATACCCCTTTGCGAGCACAGAATCCACGATATGGAACAAAGAGTTGTGTAAGCTCAGCTTCCACTTGCTCTTTGCTCATTTCTTGGTTGGCTTCGGTCACAGATAAACCACCTGCAGAAATATTACTCTGCTATTAGTAATGAAAGAAAACCTTGTCAAATTAGATACGAAACTCGGAAGGATGAACATGAACTTGATATGCTCATTCTGATACTAGATAGAACATAATGTCTGTTTTTGTTGTTGCAAGGTAGCAATCGAGAATGACGATGCTGAACATGAAAGATGCCTACTATTAAGGAGATCTGGCTGGGTCCTGACATGGACGAGGATTATGGAGTTGGTGTTGATGAGGAGGTGGTCGACCGCCCATTTCATCGCCTGCTGGCTGTTCTTATCCTTGTCGACCGCCACCACCGGCGGCACCTGCCTGGGCTTACGGCTGATGTCATCTGACTGTGACAGTGACAGAGATCGCGGCGGCATGCGATTCATTCTTGCAAGTACCAGTTTCAGCAAATGGAGAGAGAGTGAAGGAGAGGAGAGCAGTTGAGAGGGAGAGGGAGAGGGAGGGAGGAGTAGCTCTCTCTTACTCCTCCTCCACTCTTCTCTTCCCTGCGTCTTTCTCTGTCTGCTTCTTCCCTTTCCCGTTGAGTTATTCCTCCTTGGTTACAGCTTGGCAGTCCTTTTTTGTTCCCGGGAATAGAGGGTGGCAGTTGAGAATAACCACCTTGATCTCTTGAGAACAGTTGACCAGGGATGTTTCCCGGACTTCTGGTCCTTCTCCTCCTCCTTTGCTGTCTCAGTTCTTGCCCTTTTGCCGATGATGCCAATTCTTCTCATGGTTCTTGTTGAGCCACTTGTGATGAGAAGCTGAGGTCCAGGAATTCGATGGCATCTTACAATTCTTCAGCCATGTTCTGGATCTCTCAATTCATGGTCTGGCATTGCCTTTTGCTCCAAGACAAATATGGAGTTTTGGAGTATACCTTATATCATCTCTGTTGATTTGCCAACAATCTATTTTATTTTATTTTATTTTATTTTAATCATTACTATAATTTCAACTAAATCTAACATTAAATTTCCTTTAGAACGAATTAAATTATAGACAATGCCATAATTTTGCCACCTTAGTCTAATAAGCTGTTTGCACGGTATGATGAGTCATGCAAAGACAATAATTTCAATACTTATATAAAATTTATATAATGTCTAATAATTTAGATTTAGCAATGACACTGAGATAATTATCTTCTCGAGTTGATTGTGATATATGATATCGAAGATAGATGTTTGACACGAGGATATTAGGTCCTTATAATACTTTTATTAAGTTTAACATAAAAAATGATCGATATGCTAAGATTTGGTTATGAGGTATGTTGGGTGCAATGTCAAGTCCTTAAATAAGAGAGATTATAGTACATCTACTTAGTTTGACATAAAAAAAAAAGATATATTGGATGCCAAGAGAGATTATAAAAATGATGGATATGGCTAAGATTTGATTATAAGATATGTGCTTGACGTTATGTCCTTAAAGAATAAGAAATATTTAGTAGTATAACATAAAAAAAATGATGGATATTCTAACATCAAGAACTTGAATTGACTTCTAAGGAAAATTGCAGTGAAGAATCAAACACAAGGCACTTCCACCACCGGTGAAGAATCAAACATATCCCTCAGCTTTTCCCATAAAATTCCCACCAAGTTAAAAGCGATCCGCTTTTCACCTATGAAATCTCAAGTCATGAGGCAAACAAATGGCAGCGTCCAAAAGCAGCAAGGCGACAGATGTAGCAGCCTCGAATCCGCTTTGTCTTCCCACTTTACCATGCTCCGACGCTGCTCATCCACCTAAAATAATGCGAGAGTTGAGGGAAGCAAGACGAACACGTAAGAGGTGATGTAGCAGCAGCACTCTCGGTATCTCCATTTGTTTGCATTCTCCTTTTGTTAATTCGAAGATTTAGGTCGCCATGCTCGGCATATATCTGCTGATATGACTTCAACTACGAGATTCTACTTCCCACTCCGGCTTTGTGGTCACTTTAGTTCCTCGCACTCTCCTGTGGCTATGTACTATAGAGAGAGGTCAGAAGTGGGGGAGGCAATGGGAGTAAGGAGTCTATCGATTCCATGTGTTCTACCCCTTCTCCTTTGGTGTATATAAACCCTGCAAACACTTCCAGTCTTCACCACACAAGCAACCTCGAGTTGGTTCGATGCGATCTCTCCGCGAAGTCGTGGTTCATAATTCCAGAGGCGCAGCGGCATTCTGGTGAGTGGGCATGATGGAGGTTGACAGAAGAGAGTGAGCACTCATGGTCTTTTCCCGCATTCATCAAGGGTTTAATGCTCGAAGCTATGGGTGCTCACTTCTCTCTCTGTCAACTCCCACCAACCCCACGTCAACATGTGGTGGGTTTTTGGTGTCTATCTGCCCTCCTTCTTCTTCTTCTAG